TGTGTGGTGTGTGTGTGCGTGTGTCACTCTGTGTGTGTGTGTGGGTTTGGGTATGGGTGTGGTTGTGGTTGTGGTTGTGGGTTTGGGTTTGGGCTTGGGTTTGGGTATTGGTGAGTGTGGGCGTATCTGAAACGTTTGTGAGATTGGGAGTCTTGAGGGAAAGCAGTAGAAGAAGAATAGGGAATCCGTACCGTAAGCGGGAGAGCAAGGAAGAGGGCAGTCGAGCAACGAGGCTGTAGCGGAAAAAGGTCGAGCAAGCGTCCGCCCAAGTCACGGACGACAAAGTTGAACGTGATCAGAATGACTGTAGAGGCTTTTACGCTATGAGATGTGTCTGTCGCAGCGTCGATTGAATCACCAAATCGTGAGCCATTCCGGGAACGACCCTCACAATCACACGCTGCGCTGTCTGTCTCGCTTGTTCCTCTTCCTGTGAGCAAAGAGAAGAAGCAGCCATCATCATCATCACCACCACCACCATCATCATCAGCCTTCATCACCCATCATCACCCATCATCACCCATCACCATCATCACCCATCATCAACAATCACCATCATCAACCTGATGCCGATGATACATCATCATCATCATCATCATCATCATCAGCAGCAGCAGCAGCAGCCGCAGCAGCAGCAGCAGCAGCAGCAGCAGCAGCAGTAGCAGCAGTAGCAGCAGCAGCAGCAGTAGAATGAGCATCAGCAGCATCAGCATCGACGTCATCATCAGCCCATTCGATACACAAAGCTGGTCACTGGTCAGTGTGCGTCCATTCGAGGATGTGTTTCCAATCAACAGAGAGTTCCATGCAGATTGGGACGAACTTTCGATGAACATTCGAAGAACTTACTATCTTTATTCCTCTTCCGGCATGTGATTAACGTCGGTATGCTTTGAGTCCCAAACATTGCCTCCTCCTCTTGTGGCTCAACTTGAGAGGAATAAGGCACCCCAAGCTGCGGACTTGGGTCCATTACGATTCTCTCTGCCTGCGGCTGGCACCGCGCAGTTCCACAAGGCGGGACAAGCTCGTACGGAAATATGGATAGACCTTGCTGCAGCGGCGAAATGAGACAGATCTCTACGTCTAGCTAGAGAATGGCCAGCCGCTCTGGCCTGAGCTCATTCAATATCCGATTACCGACGGAATCACCGCTCTCCGGCCAGCTCATTCCCTCCCTCAATTTCGTTGTCTCCTCCCTCCTCCCTCCTCCCTCCTTCTTCCGTCCTTCCTCCTCCCCCGTCCCCGCCCCCCCACCCACACCCCTCCCTTCCCTTTCTCCCTCTTGCGGTCGTCTTATTGAACTTATTCAACATCAGAGGCAACGATCATCAGAGAGCCGACCTGAGCTCTGCTGGACTGGCCAACGAGATACACACGAGATCACCAACCCCTGCGACCAGACGAAGAAACGAAAACGTCTTTTCTTCTCGATTCTCCCTTTCCTTTTGCCTTTCTACCTATCTAGCTATCCATCTATCTATCTACCTACCTATCTATTTGTCTCTCTATCAGCCTCTCACTCTATCTATCGGCCTACCAACCTATACATCTATCTATATATCTATGTATCTTTCCAGTTGGCTGTTACCCGCCTCCTGCATCTGCGTACGGGCAGATCCACCAACTAATCACGGGATCAATCGTTGTCCCTCTCTCTCTCTCTCTCTCTCTCTCTCTCTCTCTCTCTCTCTCTCTCTCTCTCTCTCTCAGCCCCTCTTCCACACTCGGTAGAACGACGGAGGATGAATTTCCACCCTGCTAGGAGGCGCCATGGCTGCCTATTGGCGGGGAGGGGGGTACCCTATACAGAACGGTTATGGAACCCGACCCGCCCAGCCTCCGGCTGATCCAGCGGCAGACGGAGAGCGGTCCTGGTCCTGAGAATAGAGTACAAGGCGTGTTTCGGACGCGGTGGAAGCGTCCTACCACGGAGGATGGATTACGTCATAGCCTGCCCTGATGCGGGGAATGTCTTCGCGGCCGGAAGCTAGACTTGCTTCGTCAACTTGGCAGGTGTGGCATGGTTCGCTCTCGGCGCACAACACAGCGCTCAAGGGGTCCGTTTCTACCAGCGCGCACTTTCTCCAGCTTCTCCCTCTCCCTCTCCCTCCCCCTCCCTCTCCCTCTCCCTCTCCCTCTCCCTCTCTAGTCGTCGCCTGCGCTCTGTTCCTGTCTATAGCTGACTGCCCCACACACCTCGCGACCTTCCCCCCACAATGTCTCTGCCGGGTCTGCCCTCTGCTTTGACATTCCTCTATCGGCCAAGAGAGGAAAATTGCGCAAACCGCTCCTCTCCACGGAACCCGCTCGCAAGCCACTTCTTCTCTTCCCGCTCCGAGCCCGCACCGACAGCCCAAATCGGTACAAGAGGAGTCCCTCTCCCTCTCTCTCTCTCTCTCTCTCTGTATCTCTCTCTCTCTGTGTGTGTGTGTGTGTGTGTGTGTGTGTGTGTGTGTGTGTGCGTGTGTGTGTGTGTGTGTGTGTGTGTGTGTGTGAAAGAGAGACTCGTATGTGTGCGTGATTCGCTGATTCCACCGTAAAATCTCTCTGCCGCTCACCGGCTTGCTCCACCAATTGAGTCTCGGCCCTTGTCGACCTACGTGCTTTACCCTTTCCTCCCCCTTTCCCTCTTCTCTACCTCTTCTTTCCCTCAATCCTTTCGGCCACTCCTCTCAGCTCTACACCATGGTAAGGGAGTAACGTCCTCCCCTCTACATCGGCGGGCCCTCAGGCAGACGAGAATCCGCCTGCCGGCCGGTCGATCGCTCGGTCGGTCGCTGGTCGCCTGATCGCTATCGCCCACGTGCAGCACCCTCTCTCACAGCGCATCATCCTTTCGCCCGAAATCTCACCGTCCCACGGCATTGCTCTTCATTCCTTCTCTCTCTCTCCCTCTCTCTCCCGCACACAGACGCACACGGTCACTCGAGACATCAACGTAAGGACGCTCGCGCATGCCGCACATCCCCCTCCAATTCCTCTCTCTCTCTCTCTCTCTCTCTCTCTCTCTCTCTCTCTCTCTCTCTCTCTCTCTCTCTCTC